GTTTTGTGAGATTTACTCCTCAATCCGCCTCGATGCTTATGCCGCGCCTCATAAAGAAAAACCGCCTCAGTACTTATTTTCGCCTTTTTAAACTTTGTTCCACTGAGAGAACAAGTAAATCAATTCTTGAAGATTGTTGATTCCATTAACTCGAATCTGATTGCCGCTTTTGTTGAACTTTTTCTCGTATGCATATGGGGGAAGAGGGAAAATTAAAAAATGTCATAGCATTCTGACATGCAAACAATTACAAGTTGAAAGTCTAATATTTTGTCAACGTCAAATGTAGCATACTCTAATCAAACTTATGTCTAAATGAATATCGATCGATACGATATCCAATCTCCCAAGCAAAATATTCGTACAACTATCCTAGTGTTTCACTTGATACTGAGTTTTGTTCAGTATCTCGCCAAACCATAATACTCTTTGCAAAGGCTGTGACTAGACAAATTCAAGCACCTATTGTTGCAAGAGCATGATATAAGGACTCTATGAAAGTGAGCCCTCCTAGTAGATTCACAACTGGAAAATTAGCAGAGCAATTGGACCGGCATGTTCTTGTGATTAAAATCAGGGTTAAGTTGAAAATGCGCCATGAGACAAATCTACAATAGTACCAAACATTTTATAGGACTTCTATAGAATAGCAACTAACTTCATATAAATCTAATAAAATAATAGTGTAAGACAAATGATCTTCAAGTTGTTGGGAAGAGGAGGAGACAAAGACGAAGACTTCTACATATTTGTACTCCTGCCACTGAGGCTATAGTCACGTGAAATAGTGGTATCCTCAAGGCAAAATCATTCATTTTATTGGTTGAACCAATCAATCATTAGCTACACAACCTCTTAGTCTTAAAATCTTATGCCAAACCAACTCATTGAACATAATGCTCAGCAACCTCAAATTCCCCATTCGTACCCACGCCACATAAACACAGGAGAAACTTATGCCACTGATTAGGTTATGATAAATTTTCCATAAGAAACGACAATAATTAAATAACGAAGGCTGCAGAGTTTGTTCTAAAAACAAAATTCACCGAATTTCTTGATAAGTACAAGTTGGTGACAGAAAGAGCTATCGTTTGGATGCTCTAAGAAATGCATAATCTCACTTTCACTGGGGGAAAATAGTTCCACCGAATCAATAAACAACGCAAAAAAGGAAAAGTCTTCTGATCAATATGCCAAAATTCAACATTATCTAATCTCATCCATTTCCTTGTAAATTCAAATAAAGCATTCTGACAAAGGGAAATATTGGAGTACCTGCAACATCCTGATTATCGTAAGTACCACGATAAACGGTACCATAGGTTCCCTGAGCAACAAGATATCGAATTTCCAACTTCGAAGGATCAATTTCCCACACTTCCTTAGGCTTATGGCTCTGATTCTGATTCTCTACATTTTTTGACCAAACCCTGCTCAAGTGCTTCTCAAGCTGAACATCCAAGCTTTTGAGATCAATTTTATCGGCCCGGAAAATCATATCTTTGCTACTAATGCTCCCGGGACTCTTGGTGGACAAGGCTTTTTCACAAACACTTGCTGTGCCCTTCAAGTTGGAGGCTCCCTCATGATTTTCTGGTTTCCCAGTTTTGGAGGCTTCAACCCCTTCTTCACATGTTTTCACGTCCATTTTTCAAAGAATCCAAAGATTTTCCACCAAAAAAACACAGAGCCTAAATTTATAAAGATATTGCTGAATCAAGAACTGGGAAAAAAATAAGATATCAGTTTCATAAATCGAATAAAATCAAATTTTAGAAATTAACAACTTTTCGTCATCATCAATTCTTGCAAAATTAGAAGAAAAAACAGCAATAAAAGAAAGATTCAACCCTTTTGTCAAATTTCTACAATAATACTTTTCACTATAAGCTTCAAATGACCAAAAATAAACAAAATAAATTGACTTTTCAAGAATTCAAAAGGCTGATAATTTTCCCTCACCAACCCTCCCTTGCTTAACAAATAAAGCACTTAAATATAGAAAAAGTAAACCCTAAGATATTGACCCAGTTTCTTGTATATAAAGACCGAATACTTATACACCCGCCCGAAAAAAAAATCAGAACAAGCCCGCTTATGGAAGTAACAAGAAGCCCAGAAATATACCTTCAAAACCCATATCAAGAAAAAGGGAGAGCCGGAAAAGTTGACCAGACCTTTGAATAACTTTTCGAAATTCAAAGGGAAATTCAGAAGGAATGTCTGGTCAATATATCTCGGAAATTTATAGAGAGAAAGAGAGAGAAGCGTGTGGAGATGAAAAGAGCGGTTAGAGAGAAGAACGGGGGATGCCTAAAATTATGGGGTTCTTCGTTGCTTTCCTTGGTAGTCTAGAGAGAGAAAAAGAAAAGAGATAGAGAGAAGATTCTGTGACAGCATCGTAGGATACAAATGTACTGTTCCGTGCATGTCCTTCCAACGAAATTACCTGTAACGAAAGTACAACTTTTATTGACTAATAACATGGCTATTATTCGGAAAAAATAAAATTTTGAATAGTGAATTTATGAAAAATAGTGTTTAAAGCCATGTTTGATTCTCGTGATTTTTAAAATACATTTTTTTTAATCACATATTTTTCAATAAAATAATATTATACACAAATTCAAAACATTCCCTTATTTTTTAACCACACATCATGTATCAATCTATTATTAGATTATAATGGGGATCAAACATGATCTAAAAGTAGAAAATAGTTTCTTGATTCGTAAAATAAAGAATTTTGAAATAATAATTATAAAACATGGCTAAATTATCGTCTCTTTATTTCAAATACAAATCAACAAAGTCTCATTTGAAAATTTATAAACAATTTATAAATAACTAAACTTCATTTTCAATCACAATCAATTTAAAAATACTATCAACTTATTCACTATTCGTTTCTTATATATTTATAAATTCTTCCCCAACGGAAGCTATTAAAATAGGATAGATTCCTCTCGATCCCAACATTTTATAAGTGTAACAAGCACGTTCGTACCCTTTCAACATTGAGTGTGAAACATCTCCATTCGATATAAAATGTCCATTTAAATGATGAATAGTCGCATGACGAGCAAGTGATATTAATGTTACTGAAAGGGTAAACAATATTGTTGAAGAAACACCACCATTTGATTTTTTTGAATGAAATGGAATTATTTTTGAACAATTTTATTATATGTGTTGCTTGAAAAGTTATTGTCAAAATAGACATTTCTATTAAGGATACCATACACGTGATGTTAAAAGGTTGGAGATATGAACATTACAAATGGAAGGTAAGGAATATGATACCTATGAAGGAATTTACCTTGTAATTTAATTTAAAGCTCGACTTTTAACCTATTTCAATTTTATTTTGATTTTCTCAGAAAACATTTATTGATTCTCCTCATATTTTATTTAACATAATTTTTTATATGTTAATAACCAATGAATTTAAATACCGTTTGAATGGTTTAAGAAGCAATTAATCATTGTATATTAAAAATAGAGTGTGAGATTGCAATCAAACACACACTCTATTCTAAAAAGTTCAAATATAAAATCTTTTGGAACTTATTTTGAAGCATTAATTCTTTAAAATAAAGAGCATTTTATATTTATAAAGTTTTCAGGAGATGCTCTAAGCACCTCTAGTTTATATTAAGCAACGTTGACATCTCACATCAATTAATTTTTGGTGAACAAATTTATGGTGGGTCTCAAGAATTAAATTAATTTATTGAGTTTATTATTTATGCGACATATATATAATTGTGCTAAGCAATGATGTTTAGTGGATCATTTCTATTCGTGCTAAAAACTTCATGCACGAGAAAAATCAATTATTGATAATATGTTGTCGTACTCAAATAGTTATTTTAAATTTTAATGTTCTTAGATGATCACTATTTCAATCTATTAATTACAATTTGATCGAGAATTATGTTGCATGGCATTAGTCATCCGTTCAATTTCATTACGAAATATGATTTTACTTTTAAGAGTTAAGTAGTGTTAATAAATAGAGATATTTTATTTACAGTCGTGATACATGTATATAATGATTTATGTACACATGATGTGATGAGATACGAGTGAGTCATAATTTCTTCAACAAAATAAGAAAAAAAAATTCACTTTTTTTGACACATCATCTGTATGTAAACCATTATGTAACTCTATTACGTACAAATAACGTTATTATTTTATTTATACTTGCCATATCACTAGAGTGATAAATTTTTTTTAAAAAAAAAAAAATCGATAATTTTCTCATTGGTCATTTTTAGTCAAATTTATACAATAAGTATGTATGTTAATTTTTTATGATGATTCTACGATATAGTCGTTCACTTTCAAATTCGAAATACGATTAAGAGTTAATGAGAATTATCTCTCTATATAGGTCATGACTATTTGAAAAAACTTCAAGATAATTACGAGATTAATACCCGTAAAACTAATGCAATCAAAATTGTTGAGAACATCGACAATCAAAGTTATAATAGAAGTTGCGACTAATAAAATTTTCAAAGCATAAAAGACAAGAATTTAAAAAATAAACCAATTATATGTAACGGGTATTGCCGGAGGCCGGCAGATCCTTATATTTAAATCAAATAAAAATAATATTTTTTTTCCCAGCTAATGAATAGAGACATAATTATTCAATTTAAGTAATTAGTGACCAGACATTCTTGTACGACAGGTCAGATTTATTATTTTGGCCACTTCCAAATGGACACATAATGAAAGTCGACAATGAGTTTTTCTGAGTTAAATTCTAGATGACTTTATAAACTTGACTTNAGGGAGAAGAAAGATCGAGAGAAAGCGAAAGAAGGCGCTTGTTTTGTGCTGAAGAGAGAGAGAGAGAGAGAGAGAGAGCAGTGTGTACTAGAGAGAGAGAGAGAGGAACGGTTCGAAAATTGAATTGAAATGCATATGAAATGCAAATGCAAATGGAAATGGAAATGGAAATGAAAATGGTGTTGAAACTTACACGAAATGAAATGTAAATGTCAGTAAAAATCGGAGATATTAGGAAGTGGGGTTTGGCAGATAGGATCTAGAGCGCGTTTGGATGCCATTTTTTCTTCATCTAGCTGCTTATTAATTTTCATTAAATAAAGCAATTTTATTAACCATTTTTTTTTTAAGTCATTTGTGAAAATTAATTTTTTTTAAAAAAATAAGATTAAGAAGTAGGAAAAGTTATGAATCCATGTTTAAATTCTTTTTATTGAGAAAATGTATGGGAAAAAAATGAAATTAATTTCAAAAAATCAAAAATAAACAAAGACTTCTGCATCCAATTAAACGAGGTAGTTCAAGCTTTAGTCTATGTTTGGGTCATATTTATAAATTATTTTTAAATACTCGAATCATTTTTTATCCACATATTAAGAGAATTCACAATTACTCTCTGCCCATGTTTGTCTACCATTTTTCAAAAAATTGTTTTTTACAGTAATCAATCTCTACCACACATTCAAATAATAAAATATTCTACACATAAACCGATAAAGTTTCTTTCAATTTCGACCACACATTTCCAAAAAATACTATTCATTACACCATTTTCTTTTCAATAATGGTTGACAAACAGGCACTCTATTTATTTATTATTCATTTTTATATATTTATAATTTAAATTATTTATAAATACTTTCCAAACATGCCTTAACAATTGGTTAAAGTAAACAAGTTGTAGCTAACTTTCCACTCCTAATCGCTAAATACTAATATTCAATAAATGCTTCTACCAATTTCAATATATTTTCTTCTGTTATTCATAATTCAATATTCCACGACTCGTTCGTTTCAAGACAAGCAAATTTGCACTTAATGTGAATTCAGTTGATATTGACGGTTAGCTTGCAATTTTGACGTAATAAAATTTCATTTAAAAATAGCAATATCCAAATTTTAATGAAAATGAGAGTATAATTACTGATTTAAAAAAAAAAAGGCTCATTTACTTGGGTCCAAATCTTTGTCCGAAGGGGATAAAATACTTCTTAAAAGAAAGTAGAAACATTCCAAACACGACCTAATGCTTGAATTGGTCAAGTCACAATTGGGGACAAGTCGCGGATTTGAGTGGGATATCAAAATGGGTTAAATTGGGAGCTGGAATCCGCCAATAATGTAGAGAGAAGTGGGAGTCCGGACGTCAGGCAATAGTCAATTATAATAAATTATTAAGTCAATTCAGTAGAAAAAAACATGACGGGGCGCTGTGCGGTGGAGAAAAATGATTTTATTTTATTTTAACAAAAATTGCAGTCACAGTACTAAATATTTCATTTAGTTACATATTTTGCTCAAAACTTTCATTTGTATTACTGTAAGTACCAAACTTTTCAAAAATGGGCACTTGTAGTCCAAATGGATGGAAACTGTTGATTTGACTATTAGTTGACTAGACAATTAGAGTTTAACTAATTTTTAAAATAGTAACATGGTAAATTTACATTTTCTCGAAAAAAACAATTATATTAA